ATGCCGCGCAGTAAAAGAGGAGCAGAAGGTAGAGACGGACTAACAAATGAAATCATCAGGGCAGGTTGGTCTGACGCAGTGGAAGGCACTAGAGAAAAGGTTCAGTTGCTCCCTGGAAACTGCCAAGATGTCAAAGTCTGAAATGAGTCAAAAACAATCGTGCTGTTAAAGAAAGGCGGGAGGGAGGATCTGAAGAAAGATCGCCCTGTCTGCCGGGTCTCCCAAGTCTACAAGTTGTTTACTAGGATGATCACCAACAGGCCGTCAACAAGTCTGCACTAACAGCAGACAGGAGAACAGGCAGCATTCCGGAGGAACTACAGCATAACGAATAACATATTTACCTTAAGTCAACTCCTCGAACGCACGATGGAATTCCAGCTTCCTCTGTCCCCAGGTTTCGTTGACTATGAGAAAGCGTTCGACACTATTGAGTACAACGCACTGATAGAACAGGGCATCTACACCCATTACACCAACCAGCTGAATGAAGCGAATTGGGGCTGCTTCACTACATGGCATTTTGCAACATCCCTCGTCGGATTCCGGCAGAGAAAGGCGTGGAAAGAAGAGACACAATCTCTTTCAGACGGTCTTTTCATTGCCAGTTTGGGAATGGTGTTGCGGATGATAAACTGGAAAGATGGAATTAATATCAGTGATGAACATATCAGCCATTTAAAGTTCGCTCATGATGAGGTGTCGATTGAGGAAGCGTCAGTGAGCTACAAAACATGCTGCAAAAACTCAAGAGAAAAAGTGCAAAAGCCGTACAGAATAAAAATCGGTTGCTGCGATCGGATGCCCTGCCGACGGCCCAGGTAATATTAAGCAGCGAAAAACTCTAATACCGTAGACAAATTTATCTGAAGCAAGAGATGAGCCTGGAGGAATTCGCTGGAAAGCTACCCTCAGCGATCTCTTCAATTCTATCCTCAGTGTGTTGTATTCCCGCGAGACGTGGTCACTCATTAAAGGCGAATGGCACCGGTCATCGGTCACTGAGAGAACGATGGAAAGAAGAATATGGAGAATTTCCCGTTCCTATCACATGCTGAGCATGGTGATCAGACAGCGGATGGGAGATTATTGGTGTTGATCGTTGACTGGTATTCTTACGGGCCACCTAAATCGCCAAGTCACCCACCACGCCGATGTGAAGATTATATCAGGGGCCGGGAAGGCCGCATCTAGTCGGATATGGCTAGAAATCTCGACGAACGGTGGTGTAATCTTCACACCGAGATTAGTCGTTGATTACTGCCTGATCCAAGTGAGTTTACAAACAAATTTTCATTTTTGTTGTCACTGGAAAGGATAACAGTTCATTGCCATTCCTCTGGATTTAGGCGCACCTTGGTTTTAGTATCCTAGAGGATTATTAGGAAGGTTGTGGTTCCGTAGTACTTACAGCACATATAGCGCATGGACGTAAAAGCACAGATCTCTAAAAATGGCTAAATATGGTCCCGTCCTGAGGAACGGACTAAAATAGGTATTTATAAACAAAAGCATAATACCAGTGTTTACAGGTTTATCGGCAAATTACTGATTCGATACGATAATTAAGAAGAAAAATATTCTGACAATTTTCTATAGTTATTCCTAATCCACATTTTATTTTTCTTTTCCCCAACTTTCTTCTTAATCTTGTTCGTATTCCTTTCCCCTTGTCATTAATAGAATTATTCATGAACGATTTTCTCATTTGCTTAGCTTATTCTCGAAAAAGAACATTCAGTCATACCGTCCAGTTATTTCTTTTCCGTCAATACCAATATTTAGAACACGTTGACTGTTTAACCTTATGGTCTCCATTTCAGATGAACGAACCAACAGAATCCGCCTTCGTTCAGCTTTTCTGTTCGACCATACGTGCTGTATCCATTGTAAAGGTATTCCGGATGGGTCCTTATATCTGATACCACACAGCAATCTGAAAATCTGCATAGTTTTCGGTTTAAACTCTCATTCATACGGCTTCTGTATGGTTCAGTATCCACCACCTTAAGTCAGTACTGAGCGTATGGTTGTTTTATAACCTTTTCTATTTAACCTGAGTGCAATTCCGCGTACAACGCATCGTATATTCCTACTGACTTGACCCAAACTTTTCTCGATCGACTTCTTCAATCACTGTTGACGTCTTCGTTATCGTGCATGATGAATCAAGGTACTGAGTCTTGCTGAAAAGGTATGTCGTGTATTCCTTCCTGTTCACTGAGAGAAATCACGATTTATCAACTCTCCCCAGTTGGGTTTTCATTTCCAGGATTGCACTGCTTTCCTCACATCACCTGCATGGAGCATGAATCATCGGCTTCCTTCTGAAGGAGGTTTCCATTTGACGCGTTCGTCACCAAAACAGCAAAAGCAAAAATGCACGGATTGTTCAACATTACCTCATACAGAGAGTTCTTTCGTTTGACTCACCAGCTGATGAGTACTAACTCTCGCTCTAACCTCATTATACATAAGTTGAGTAAGCCAAGAACATTGGGTAGCACGTCACGTTGGTATCGGTTTCTCTCGCATGCTTCATTATACTATCTCTATTGGATTAAATCATCAGCATTTTCAGATCGACGAAGTATGATACCCTGATTTGGTTTCTATGTGCATGTGGTTCTTATCGTCAGATCGAATGCAGATTAAAGCAGGCTTATCGAAACAAGGCCAATCACATCTCATGCTGTAAAACGCATTTAGAAGCCCGGTTGACTCGGTTATGATATTGACTGCGCGATTATGAATTTTTCCAAAGTGAGGTTTCACCATATGATTATCATGCTGGGTAGTCACCTGACAGATAGGTCAAGACAAATTGTAATCGTAAGAGATGTTTATATCAGAAAATTCGGCTGCACCTTTCACCAATTTCGGTATGATCAAATTAGAACGCCACGCTGTCTCTATTGTTAGCAAGTTAACGACAACCTGTTATCCGTCTCTCAGCATGTTGCACGGAAAACAAATGAGGTGAATTGCAGAAACAAGGAATAAGCAATTAAGGAATGTTTCGTGAATTCGAATGCAACACCTACGAAGTGTAAAGCCAGATCCTACCACTGTGAGATCTCACTTTTATTTCATTCGTCACTGTCCCCCTGCACCTAGTATGTATTTAGAACGTTTTAAATAATTTCCAGCTCGCTCGTGTTTCTGCAGCACTGTTGTCCTTCATAGTATTTAAGTCTTTTTGTCAACATCTTTAAGAAAAGCTGCATGTCAGTTGCATGAGCGATCACGGGCATACTTTGCGGATGTCATGGATGCGCAGTTGTGAGTAGTAATGATTTACTGCGCTCCGGCGGGCATTTTCGATCCAGCGTCTGTGCTGCTCTGGACACACTTCCCGTGGAGGGTTTTGATGCTTTGCCAGTGCCACCGCTGCCGTGGGCACAGGCGCCGTGTTTCCTCCAGAATTTCATGAACAACACCACACACGAAATATGTGCTAAGCACAAGCAGACACCGTCACCAGGCAAAACGTAAAAACAACGCCGTTTACGGCAACCTACGTTGGTGGTTTTCAAGCGGTGCAACGCAAGCTACCCGATAGACGACTCCGGTACTAGGTGGAAAGTGAGAACGTTCTTGAAACA